GACTACAGCAGTATGCAGGGGGAGGGACTGGGGAGGGGTCGGAGGCCAGGGGAACGGGGCTGGCCCACCTCGCCGGCCAGGAGAGGGCGCTGGGGAGGCAGCAGAACATGTGCCTGCCAGCCTGAGGCTCCAGCTCCCCAGACAGCACCTGGACCCAGTTCTCTGGGGCAGCATCTGGAGTCCACAGATGCCCTGATCCAGCCTGGCCAACCCCAGCCTGAGTGTGCTTGTGTGCCCGGGCTTCAAGGCATAACTGCCCTGAACCCCCAAGTTCAGAGCCTCTCTCACACAACCCCACCCCACAGGTTCCTCGTGTCTCTGGCTGAAAGTAGGAAAAAGAGGAGGAAATGTGCTCACTGAGGACACTGAGCAGGCCCTGTTGCCATGCTGGGGACACCAGAGACCAAAAGGCTGAAGTCCCCGGACCCCAGTGCCTGTTCCCAGCCCAGCTGCCGGCCGCTGCCACCGCCTCAGGGGTGGTGCCAGGAGAACTTCAGTGGCACGTGAATCCTCCCACCTCTTGTACCTCCAGCTTCCTCGGCGGCTCTGCTGGGCTCCACGGCCGCTGGCCCGGCCTGCGCGACCCTGGTGGTTGTACCTGTCCAACTCCTCGTAGTCCTCGCCACTGACAACCCCTGCAGCCAGCACACAGCCTGTCATGGGCCCGGGCAAGACCACAGCCAGTGCTCCAGCTTGGACAGCAGAAGCCTTCCCGCCCCCCACAGCACATGAGCCCTGGGGGATGGGCTGACACCTCTTGGGGTCCACAACAGCCCCAGACCTCTATGGCCTGGGCACCAGGTCAGAGCAAGAATGGTGCTGGGAGAAGGGCCTGGCCCTACCAACCCCACACTCCCAGGAGGAACGCCCACATAACAGGTGCTCAATAATCCTCCTGACCCAGGGACGAGTCCCAGGGACCTCAGAGCAGCAGATCCAAGACATTGCGGGAGCCAGCTGGAGTGAAGAGCTCCCTGTCCCAATGTGCTCAGGTGCTCAGAGCTACTCGATGGGCTGGCAGATGCAGGTTCAACAGGTGTTTCCCTTGTCCCCGTCGATATGTGAGCGGTCGGATCAGGACCTGGGTCTGAGGCCTCCAGAGCAGGGCTCCGCAAGGTGAGCACTGCCTCGGGGGCCAGGTGGGAGCTGTGGGAGCTCCACTCAGCAAAGGAGAGGCCTGCTCACCCTCATTCCGGCGTGAGTGCCGAGGTGCGTAGCTGAACTGCAGGTCGATCTGGCGGTTCTGGCGGGCCTCAGCACGGCTCCGGCTGTGGCAGGCTGTCCTGTGGGCCTTAAGGTCGATCTCGGTGCGGAACGCGTGGGTGAACTGCTCGGTGCTGCAACGGCCCTCTTCACACAGGAAGTGCTTCTCTCGGAAATGCTCGCGCAGATATGCGTAGTCACTGCCGGGGATGGGCTGTCAGTCGGGGCCGCCAGGCACCGTGGCCAACGGCCTGTGCCCAGCCTGCCCAGGTGTCCAGGGCCTTGTGCTACCGCACCCACCTGTAATAGTCCTGGGCCCCATCAGAGTCACAGAAGTGGCAGAAGTAGTGGTCGCGCCGCAGGTGCTTGAGCAGCTCATCGTTGTCCAGGTAGCGCTCGTCACAGAACTTACAGAGTGGGTGCCCGCGGTGCGACGTGTCATCGGGGTCCCCCTGCATGCGGTGCCGAGCCAGGTCCTTGCGCGAGTACCACTTGCGCTCATAGGTAAAGATCTGCAGGGAGTGGGGAAGGGCTGGGCATGGGGTGGGGGCTCCCCGGCCCCCTACCTCTCCCCACAGCCCAACACCACCAAAGGATCCTGGTGGCATCAGCTCTGTCACAGGGCCCTCAACACCAGCAACCTGGAGGACCCACGTGGTTACTAGGAGGCTGCCCTGCCTGGGCTGTGCAGCCTGATTGGTCACCACCCCAGGGCTCTGTGAGGCAGGAGAGCTGGGTGGGTGCTGGGAAGCCCTGGGGATCCGGCCTGGCCAGGGCCAGGGGCAGCAATAAGCCCCTCACAGCTGTTTGCTGAGCACCCCTACGCCAGCCTCTACAGGGCCTGGACACCATCCACCTCAGCCAGGGACTCCCTAAATGTCCCAAAGACCCAAGCAGCTGCTGTGGAGGCAGGGTGGGGCTCACCTTGAGGTGTTTGAGGCACAGCTTGCAGCAAAACAGCTCGTGCTGCTTCCGCATGTGCTGCTCCAGGTCCCCAAAGAGGCCAAAAGGTGGCAGCTCAGGGCATCGCGGGCACTCGTGCTGCAAAAGCTGCCTAGGGAGACACCAAGAGCACCAGGACCCGAGGGCACTCAGCAGTGTCATCCAGAGTGAGCACTAGACCCTCCCCATGGTCCACCGCTCCAAGGCCCTGGAGACACTCTCGGAGTGGGAGCCAGAAGACAGGCACTCGGCTCCCCATGCACCTTGGAGCTCTGACCACTGAGTCAGATGGGGCTTGGGCCAGTGCCTGAGCTGAACAAGGCCATGTGACGGGGGTGGGGCCATGATGCAGGAGACTGACCTCTGTGTCAGATGAATATTATAACTGAGCCCACACAGGAGCCTGGGGTCAAAAGCCCAGGTTCTAGCTGAGCCAGGCGGCTGCCCTCTCACCTGGAAGATGAGGACCGGCCCCAAGATAACTGTACCACTTTACGGGGTTTTCCCACCATGGGCTAAGAGCCTGACTTGCAAGAGCTCTTGTGCACTTCCAAGAGCCCTCAGGAAGCAGGTGCTGGGTGCTACACCAGGAGGGCTTTCCCTGAATTCACCCCCTTGCCCCTCATCTCTACCACCACCCCAGGAGGGGGGTGTGAGCACCCCCAGTTACAGGACAGAAGACCAATGATGGGAACTTAGCCACCTGACCCTGATGTCTGTGCCACAGAAAGTGCCCCCACCCACCTGAGTGTTGTGAGGAGCACAGGAGGTGATGGGGATGTGCCCGTCCCCACCACAAAGCGCCCTGCAGACTCTCGGAATCCCAGGCTGAGGGTTCCTCTCTCACCTGTATAAGGCAAACACTTTCCCATCAGCAAAGTAGATGTCATACTTCTTCTCATGCTGCAGCTGGTGGATGGGGATTGTAGCAAAGGCAGGAAGCTTCCTCCCAAAGACCACCTGGAACCGAAAGTACAAGGGCACGGTGAGCGGGGCTCGGGATGTCCACTGGAAGGCGCTATCAAGCAGAAAAGAACGGGAGGCGGACACGCCCCCTCTGCTCACCCGCAGCCCAGCCACCTAGGGTTGCCAAAACAGAGAAGCAATCCCTGGCCTCGCCGCCAGGGGGCAGCCGACTCCCCACTCATCCACAGCAAAACTGGCACCTGCCAGACAGAGGCTGTCCCAGGGGCAGTGACAGGGACCAGACAGCGGGGCAAACCAAACCTTAATCACATGGGTGTCAAGCACAGGATGACTTTCACTGGGAGAAAGGAGAGACACAATCCAGGAAGCAGCTAAGGAAATAATGCTGCCAGGCCAGGACCCATCAGTTGACCATGCCTGGCCACCCTCCATCCACTCACGACACTTCCATAACACCACAGGAGAGGAACTGTCCCGCAGCACTGGGTCATGGACCCTGGCCATTCTGGGCGGGCTGCCTGCCTGTTAACTTGGCTGTCTGGGGGCACCAAAGGGATGAGCTGGTGAGCTAGATGCAGAAATGTCCACAGCCTGGTTGCTTCTCTGGGGTCTCCAGCCCTCTGGAGGCTCTGCACCTCCACAGACTGTGGCAATGGACGAGGACCAGACCCCTGTCCCAGAGACCCCAGCCTGGCCCCCAGGCCTTTTTATAGGCTCAGGCCTCCCCTCTGAGCCAACAAGGGCACTGTTCCCTCCAGGACTCCCTCATCCTCCAGCACCCCCTTTCTCTCTGTTCCCCACTCCCTCACTTGGATCAAGACGACAGTCCTGTCTCCTCTCCGTGCCCCTTTCAGATCCACCACTGTCCCCCCAGCCTAAAGTAGGGCACTCAGCTCAGCTCAGAGTCCTCACCAGCACACGTGGGGGACATCCTCACCTTGGGAAAGGCCACATCAAGGACACCCCTGTTATGTTTAGGCCCAGCCAAGGAGGCTGTCTGGGACTACAATTGGCCGTGAACTTGGGAAAGCATAGGACTGGCTGGAGAGAGTGGGTGGTCACACTGTCTCCAGCAGCAGGGTGGTTAAAACTGGCTCCCTGGGGGCCTGGGGGAGGAGACGGGGAGCTCAGCCTCCACTTCTGAGGACATGCTGTGGGGGATGGTGGTAGAAAACAGGCTGACCACCAAGTCTTCCCCAGATTCTGCCCCCAAAGGAGCCCAAGGGAAGTGTCATGGTCCAGCCACACCCATTCTGGGGGCCACAGTGAGGTAGGGGTGGAGGAATGAACCCCCAACAGGCCTTTCTTCCCCTTGTCGCCATGCCTGGTAAAGCCAGGCAGGATAAACATGGCTACCGACCCCTGCCCCTGCCCCACACTGAGCACACCTCATCCCAGCTGCACTCCTGTGACCTGTCATCAAAGGGGAGCCTTGGCTCTGCCTCCAAAGGGTCAGCCTCCACACTCTCTGCCCTGGCTTTCTCTGCAGGCCCTGAATGAACATAGGGAGGGTCCCTGGACCTCGCACTGGCCTCTTGTCAGGGGATCTGCCCTCCAAGAGCAAGCCTACACCCAGCCCTGCCTTCTGACCACTCCTAAGGGGGCTTTTCCAGCAGAAACCCCAGTTCCTGTCCAGAGATAGGTGCCTGCAGGTGCAGGGCCATGAACCACTCAGGATGCTGCTGGAGGAGCACAGAGCATAAGGAACTAAGCACTGAGACTCAGATTAGCAGCCCTAGAGGGAAACCGTAAAGCTGCCAAAAAGCATCCCAGCCCAACAGACTCAGCAAAGGAACAACTTCCCCAGAGGAAACCCATGCCAGAAGGCTCCCCCTACCCTCATCCCGGCTCTGGCACCCTCCTTTCAGGGGTCAGCTCTGATCCACCACAGGCAGTGTCTCCCTGGGCTGTGGGTACCCTCGCCGTGGACTGAGCGACAATCAGCTTGGGCAGGGCGTCTGTTCCTCCTGAGCGGTCTAGTGGGACAGCCCTGGCTAGGCACACCTGAGACAGGTCAGAAAGGGGAAACTGGATTGGCTTGGGAAAGGGCTGGAACCACAGAAGAGGCTTGGGAAAGGAAAGAAGCCATGGGCATGCAAGCTCAAAGCTGTGTGTGTTTTAGAAGGAGGGTGAGCAGGTTAGGAGCCAGGGGGCATGGAATGGGGAAATGCCAACTGCACCCACCCCTGGACAGGCCCTGGGAGCAGGACTGGACCCTCAGGCCTGCACCAGAGGCCAGGTCCAGCAACGAGCAGACGATGGATGGTACTGCAGCCTGGTGTGGCCAGTGTCCCCTGCCCCCAGCAGAGAGTGAGATGAGTGGCAAGACTGAGTGGCTGGACAAGAATGAGGGTGTGGTGGCCTGGCCAGGGATGGGCAGGAACCCACCAGTGATCCAACCAGTGTGGCTTGAGACCCACCCACCCTGGTGATCACCCTGACGGGAGGAGATCTTAGGTCCAAGGACAGAGGTACAGACCAAGCCTAGATACTTGGGCAGCCTGGGTGGACCCCAAGATGGCCAGGCCGTGAGGAGAGGGAGATGGGGGTAAGAGCCCCCTCAGACTCTCCCTGCCTAAGGGTTTCTGCCTGGGGCCCTGCTGCTCCCCATTCCCAGCATGCAGTGAGCACTCACTGAGAATGAGTGGATGAGAGGACAGGGGTATTAGCAATGACCAGTGCTGAGAGTGAGCTGGATGGTGAGGGGTGGGCCTGGGGGAGAGGAGGGAATACAGAGTGAGCCCCCAGAGACAGCACTACCTAGAACACAGGCACAAGAAGAGCCAGAGGGGGATGGAGCAGGGGTAATCTTAGAGGAAGAGGGCCAGGACCAGGGTGGGGGGAGGGAGCACGGACAATAGAAAAGCATGACCTGAGTCAGCAGGTCCCGCCTCCTGACCTGCCTTCAGCCTCCTTTCCTACTTTCTATGAAACAGGGCACTGGGGCTGCACTAGGTGGCCTGCAGTTCCCCTCCTAAGACAGACATATCCCACTTTGTATAGCAGCCCCATCAAGCCTCTTTGGCATCACCAGGGGTCCAGACAAGGTGGAATGCTTTCAGAGGAAAGTGGCCTGTGTAAAAGGTACAACCAGGGAAGAGAGGACAGGAACCTGGGACTTGACATCAGTTTCAACCAAAGTGCCCTCAAGACCAATGCTACCGCTGCCCATCAGGTGGGAGCCGCCTTGGCCTCTGCCTTGAGCACCTGCCGAGCAATTTAACTGATCTGGCTCCTCGCCTGACCAGCAGCTGCAAGGCTGCCCCCCTGGGCCGGCATAGGAAGGCACTAGATCAAGATGTAGGAATTAACCAGCAGATGAAGCTGGCCTGTCCCTGCATCCTGGCATACTTTCCTTCCAATTTTCACAAAGACTTAGTTCCATACAGGAGGCAGAGCAGAGGCAGGCTTCAGGGGCTAGGGGTCACTGTGGGATTCCCAAGGGGGCATGGGACACAGGACGTATTCAGAGGACAATGCAGGGCTCAACAAGGGAACAAGAGGGACAGGGGGTGCTGCAAGTTCAAGAGTGGGAGGGAAGCAGGATGAATGGGGAGGAGCATCATCTCCGCAAACTTCCCAGTACACCCTCCTGCTGCCTAGCAATTCAGGGCAGGCCCAAGAGGAAGGTCAGGCTCGGCCAGGGCACCTGATGCCAAACCACATCCCAGCTGGAGCCAGCTGACAGCTCATGTCAACACCCCCTTGCCACAGAGCACTTGGAGGGTGTGGGACCCACAAGGAATGAGAGAGGCTAGATGCTAGCTAGAGGAGCCATATATAGATGTCTGCTCACTTCCTGAGTGAGACCTGCAGCACCCAGGGCCAGGGACTCCACAGCGCCTGCCTGCCTGCCTGTCTGCCTTCCTGGAAGGAAACTACAGGTATGCTGGGAAACCTGGCTGTTCAAGAATTACATCATGTCATGAAATACTAGCCGACAAGGCAGGCTCTGGCAAAGGAGGTGCCTTCTGACTAAATCACAGATCCAAGGTTTCCCCGACTGCTCCGGCACCTCTGCTCTCTCCCAGATCCGCATCCCTCTCTGTACTCCCCATGATAGACTGACAGCGTCTCCAAGTGTCTTTTCAATAGTGAACAGAATAGGTAACCACAGAGTAGTCATGGGATTACAGCATTTCCTAGGCTCTTTTAACATAAATCTCTAACAACAACAAAAGTGAACAAAGTCGTTTCTGCATCACTTCTAGAAAGAAGAAACTCAAGATTCCCTGGTAGATGTAACCAGCTCAAGCTTTCCATGAACAAACCAGGGGAATTTCACAACTGCAGAAGCAAACAGATCTCAAAGCACAACAAACCAAGGAAGCTCCAGCTAGGCGTTCCCAGCCAGCAGCTGGCATTGCAGGGAGAGTGAGGAAAAGCTCCCTGTTGCCCTCTAACCTCACTAGGGCTCATAGGAGTCTGGAGAGTCAGAAACTGCCCCCATCCCCCAACTCTGGAGTTAAGCCCCCAGCTGGGACTGGCAAGAAAAACTTCATAACACTTTTATCCCCACCCACCAAGCAACCAGAGGAGACCTCAGTGGTTCTGCCTTCCCCTCTGGTGGGCAGGTCAGAGTGCCACCATCACTTAATAGATGAAAAGGAGTTTGCTCAGCGTAACCCAGGGAGGTCCAGAAATAACAGCTGGGCTGGAAAAGCTCGCTTGACCCTCTAATTCCAGGACAGACCGCGTCTGAGGGTGCCCACTTGCCCCGTTGCCTCCATCGGAATGAAGACCCCTGAGGAATAAACTCCCAAAGACGAGCAGGTCGAGGGGTTCCTGCTCTGATCGTACCCCTTCTGTGGCCCAGCAGGAATTCCCGGGGAGCAGGAGGAAAGTCCGCGGGCTCTGTCCCCAAAGGGATCGCTACCTCTTCAAATTAGATCGGCCATCTCATGCCTCATGGCCCCAGACGCCCCAGAGTCGGCCCTGCGGTCGGGACCCCGCCCCAAGTGGTCCCGCCAGGCCTCTCTTTTGGAAGCCGGCGCCACCAGGCCTGCGGCCGGACACCAGGAAGGTAAAGTCCCCTTCCGGCCGCTGGGTTCCCTGCCGCCCCGACTGGCCGCGCCCGCGCCCCGGATCGCGCGCCCGCCGGCGCGGCTCACCTGCGCAGCTCCTCGCGCACACCGCGCCAGTAGGCGTTGCTCACACAGCACCGCATCTTGGTGGTAGCACGG